CTGAACGCGTAGCCACCCTTTCGATTTCTTTAAATTTTTTTACCAACACAAAAGCAATATTTCTGTGTTCTTCTCATTCCTGTCATGGATAATGAGTCTCAAGCCAATGATTTACGGCTGAAATACTGGGCTGAACCATAACTTCTGGCCGAATTTCGACACTTTCATTTCATTGAGTTTTTTCTTCCTGGAGAATAACTGATCAACAATATAACCACCGTCGCAATCGCTGATATGCATTCATTTGCTAGGCAGCGAATGGATGCATTCCTCTCAAAACGAGTGGAGCTATGGGATGAAGAGTTCGGAGAGGTCGTTTTTTGGGTGGTTGTATTCAGTGACCCCTTTCTCTCGAAGGTACTGCTTCAGGGCATCGAGAAGGGGATAGTGCGATGAAGTAATGTTAGGACTATACGATAGATGTGGTATCGCGATCGAGCCCAGTTTCCTCAGAAGGTGGCGAGTTATCTTCGCAATGTAAGGTCGGGCGTTCATCCGGAGGAAGGAGATTTTGAGACGTTTCGAATGGTTCTCTCGCACTGCTGCGGCCAACCTCGGGAGTTATTCCATGGTTATCTTCGCAGTGGTTGTCTATATAAGATGAAGCGGTTCTCAAAGTGGGATACCCGACCAATCCTACAAATGGGGTAATATTCTCTGACGAAAGAGGTCGGGTTTTGGGTGAGATGGTGGGTTCAGGCTGCGAGATAGCCATAAGGCGTGCCGCGTGTTGTTGTCGTAGTGGACTCATGACTCATCTCCACTGGTGACCGACTAGGGAAAGTCCAGGCTATGCCTGCGCAGAATGAAATTTCTGCAGATGGTCAGGTCTGCTTCTCGGTCATGGTCAGAGATGCATGCCGTTCCCATCGAAACTTCATTCTGCTACAGCCCGTTTCATTCAGACAGCTTGCGGTGGTGCATCGGCCCAGGTATCTGCTACAAATCTCAGGTGGTAGCGTCCGGGTGAACTTCCGATTCACAGCGCAATGGATCCTCATCGAAAGTGACTGGGGGCTTAGGATGAGGTCAAACTTTGCAGCTTGTATCGCCTTTGCCGATGCTTTCAAGCCAATAGCCAGTGCCCGATCAGTAGCAAAGACTGAGGCAAACACAGCGCTGGTCTTGCCTACTGCACTCCTTGCAAGGTTCTTCTTAAATGATCGTTAAGCATAATCGCCTGCTTTGGTCGTTGATCCATTTCGATCCCTACTTACTTATTCCACTGCCCTTTGACCTTCTGGAACATCCTAGTTTAAGGTACTGATGCCTCCTTCAACATACTAACTTATTTCGTAATGACACTAATTTGACATGAAGAAAATTGATTCTGAAAAAATTCGGCCAGGAATTATGGATCAACCCAATAGAATCATAATTTTCCGTGAAGGATACTTTGAGACTGAGCTTATTGGAGGAGGACTCCGAGGTGAGTAAACCACGCAGCATGTGACAAAAGTTGAAGTGTGTGATATCAGGGTGAGTGGCTCACTAACCTCTGAGCCCTCCAGTTCAACCCGGTGCGAGGGCGCATACGAGCAGAAAATATCACCAAATGACGCAAGCGTCAAATGAATGTCATATTCGTAATCAGGACACCAAATAACCCCTATGTACAAGTTTACACCGAATTTCGTGAAAACAGCGTCAAGGTGGCGCCAATGGCGCCAAATGGCGCCGCAATGAATGTCATTTTCGTAATCAGGGCATCGAATTACCCCTATAGGCAAAGTTTCGACGAAAAATAAAATTTTGATTTAGTTTAGTTTAAATTTAGAGCAGTGGAATAGTGCCAAATTTTGTGAGATGTGCCTCTCACCGCCTCTTATCAGCCCTTATCAGCGTTATCACTTTCTGTCCCCCACCAAATATGTTCCCGTCTTGCTCCTTATATAAGCTGAAAACAACTCCATGACGACAGCTGGTCCACGAGCTATGAATTTTCGATCACACCCACATACGCGCTCGAACGGACCGACACACACACACGCTTGTTTGCCGATTATATAGTAGAACCACAGCTTCCCCCAGAGCATACTGTTCGGAGTTGCAACACGAAACTCAGGCATTACAGCTCCGTGTCCTGAACCTGGCACCATAGCACCCAATGGCACTACGGTGTGTTTTTATGACTGCGTGAAGAAATGCGCATTTGCTACTGCTCCAAAGAGCGCCAACTATTTCTCGGTATGTTTTTTATTCTGAATCTCACATTTCTACCTACGTCTAACGAAAGCTGTTGAAGTGGGCATGAAGCTTTAGGCTTTTTTTTCTGCTAGCTAGAGGTAAATGCAGTCGCGTTCTGGTACAGCCCAACTCCAACATGCCATGCTAGTCCCACTTTAAAGTTCTTACGTTTAACTAGAATCACACCTAATTAGTGCTCAGACGGCTATGCGCGTTAGGCTGGTGCCGGCGTCCGCGATCCGTCGCAGGTTTTCATCTAACGCGAACTACCTTCCGTACAATCGACCAAGAAACTCCATCCCTATAAACGAAAAAGCGTGCTCGGATAAAGCAGTAACAAAACTGGGAGCACAAAGATTCAGGCGTATCCATTCCACAAGTCACGAAAAACCACACATGGAGAGGGAGAGCGGGGAAGGTGGAATCGCAAACAACAAACTGAGAAAAACTGAGGTTAATCATTATTGCTTCATTATAAAACCAATTTAGCTGCGCACATTTACCGGACATCCGTTAAGGCTGCTTTCATAGTTCGCATCGGTGCGGTCGGTGCCGACGGTGCCGACGGCGCCGACCGCACCGACAGTGTGAAGAGCGTCAATACGCGCTCTGGCGCATGACGTGTACGTTGGGCGCAGATGGCGCGCTCCGATCGATAATCTTGGGTTTGGTGTACTTCTTGTCTTCAGTCTTCCTTTTATAAGTGTGTTTTCTGTTGATACTTATTTTTTATGTCTTCATGAGTACTTTTCAGTTGTTCCGCGGACGAGCGACGTCGTATAACCCCGTGTGAAGTGGCTTCAAGACCCAGTGATTTCATCATGAGCAATTCTGTTTATTCGAGTGAACTGTATGTTTCCAGTAGTTGCTTTCTCTTCGATACAATTTCCTGCTGGTGTGCGAATAATTAAATTACCAAGATCCGGCGGCCTTTCGCACACCAGCAGGAAATCGTATCGAAGAAAAAGCAACTTCTAAATTTATAGAGTCCACTCGAATAAACAAAATTGCTTATGATGAACTCACCCAGTATAGCCACTCGGGGTAGTACGACGGGGTTCAACGAAGTCGTGGAACAGCTGAAAAGTATTAATCAAGACATAAAAGAAAAGTATGAACAGGAAACACACGAATTAAAGCAACACGGCGCGAAAAAAACATCGAAAAGCACAAGAAATACACCAAAACCAGGATTATCGATCGGAGCACGCGATCTGCGCCCAACGTTCGCGTCATGCGCCAGAGTGCGTATTGACGCTCTTCACACTGTCGGTGCGGTCGGCGCCGTCGGCGCCGTCGGCACCGACCGCACCGATGCGAACTATGAAAGCAGCCTTAAGGGAACTGGGCAAAACTGGACATCGGGAGAACATTAGGTTTTGCCGCTAAAGAACGCTAAAGCAGCATCAAACAACCGCCATGCTTTGGACGTTAAAATGATTTACCGGATATCTCTGAACATCCATTATAAGTGCCACAAGTAAGTAGGTGCTCATATCGTAATTATCGATCCGTACTAGGCATAATCACTATCTCTCCCCATAGAACATTGTTCGCCGCTTAATTACCTGGTACATTCCTTCTGAATCGACGCCTTAAACTGTGATTAGGACGCGCGCTACGAACTTTGTGAAATTTGCGTTCTATTGCCTTTTATCAGCCTTTATCAGTCCTTATCACTTTTTGGCCACTTCCAAAATGCAGGTGACCATCACCGAAGCAATAGTGAGACCAGAGCTCTCGTTGGAAAAAAAATAGATTGAAGAACTATGCGGAGATGAACAAGGAAATGTATGCCGATGTTAATACCCAGCTTTGGCTTAGTTAATCGTTGAGAACCTTCGATCAAGCGCAGGAGAAGGGTCAGTCATTGTACGCCGCATGACAGGGATCAGTGAGTTGATTAAAGGGCATAAATAGTTTGTGCGGCTTATTCTAAAAGGATGTCGAGATTTACTGGCACTTTATTGAGATCCACTTTCGATTGCCTATAGATAGACCAGATATGTTCCTGATTCCGGTATGAATGAAGAGTTATAGTCCTTAAGTGTCCGAAAAAGCAAACGCGTTCTCTGTGCATATTTTCAAGCACAAAATTACAGCCTAAAATTATGTCATCTGATTTGCAGGTAGAAGCTATTACATCGTAAAAATTTCAGGAGGAATGTATATGTTTGGGTATTAAGAATGCCGCATATCCGATTCCAGAACCGATCAAGTGCGCGACATGGTCAGAGCAAACTCGGGGAGGTTCGCCAGTGCCTTTAAACTTTTTTCCATGCTCAGTCGAAAAATATACGCAGTAGCATTGAAGAATCTGCTGCTTTACGGATAACAGGTTCTAGTTCATCAAATCATACAAGACTTCATTATGATCTGCACTAACCTATTTTGGGTAGTTTCACAATATTTAACACGTTGACGACGAGCGATTTTTTCCTTGTCGCGCGCATGGGACGAGGCGTTTTTTGCATGCAAAGCGCCGGTAACACAGGGCAAAACTTATTTTGTAGCTCTGTAAAATCTCGAAATGCACAAAATGCCTTTGACTAGAGTACTCCAGACACGTTTAGAAACAAGGAAAAGTTGTTACTACTGAATGCTGGGTGAAATTTCAGTGACATCGCCTGGCATTTTCAAACCTCAGGTTAGAATAGGTTCTGAAGGCGCAATTTCACGCATTCTTCATTTTTATTATTAATATGAGCTTTCCTTTAGATGGTACTGGTATCCTGATCACATCTGAAATCTTCTACGAATTTTTCACTCAAGAATGACGCAAAAAACTTTGCGTACCTGACGGAATGAGCTTTTGTTTGACTGTTATCTTGTTCTTCATGATCGAATAAGAGATTTAAACGAGTCATTTCAAGGTCAAAAAATTGTTTGTGAAATATTTGGCAGTTGATGGACTGGATAGGTACTTGTCCTGCCTATGAGTAAGACTGAGCCTACTTGACCATCATGGGAACCTAAGGCTAGAAATGGACATTCTACTGACGGTGACCTAATTAGTAAAGGTCGATATGAACAATTTTAGTGAGATTTCCAGTTTGCTGACGGTGGGAACTTTGTGGTTGTGATTCAATTGACAGCGCGTTTCTGCCACTGATAACTAATTCAGAATAAAACTCCCAGGAATTAGAAAGATCATAATTCGCAGACAAGTGTAGTAAGTTAGGACACTGAAGTAAACGTTGAAATAGAAAAGTCGCGGGTTCCATCTAAGTTTGCTTACTTTCAAGCTGTCGGTCACCATTGACCGACATCGTCCCATGTGACAGACTGCCTGTCGGTCAGCATTGACCGACATCGTCGCCAACGTGTTAACAAGGCTATAAAGTATCATTTACGTAGAATTTTCAGCATCAATTTCAACTATTCCCGAACCAAAAGCTAATAGCATTGAAGGCAAGATTGGGGATTGAATTGATGCGATGATTCCACTCAAATGTGAAAGTAGGGATGGGAGGTGGACCGCCAGTGGAGTAATTTAACATGCGCTAACATGAAATGCAAAATTTTGTCATCAGCCGGGACCGATCCCTCGACCGATTTTTCATACCTTTTTTGGCATTCAGGAGGGCCGCTCAGAAAAAATGGAGCCTAGTTTTGTACTCCATGCATGTGCCCCTTTATCATGCAAAAAACCGTTTTCCAAAAAGACCTCCATGTCCTGAAACTTCAATAGAGGCGTCGAAACAGTGTGTTGGCAATAGGTTGTTGATATTGTGGGTGTGTATCATGCTGGATGAATGGGACAAAAAGGTAATATACAATATCAATAATCACAATTTAGCCAGCTTGTTGTCTTATGGACCAAAATAATATACAGGGGGGGGGGGGGGCTAAAAAAAAGTCACTTTGCCTATGGCGCATATCATCAAACTTTTCGTCGCAAAGGATGCCGCTGTTATTGGGAGTTATACGGCAAATTATTCCTTAGATGAATCAGGCCCACCTTCGCTGCCTTCACCGTCTCCAGAATATGACGTCATCTGTCATCACCGTCGAGCTCAAGGAGGCCTACCATAATCGCTCCATTCTGAAGCTGCTACATAATTTCTTCAATCGGATAACTGGTGAATAGCTTCTTAGAGACACTAGCTCTGACTATGCAAAATGGCTTTTGACCAGCGTTTCAGAGACGTCGTAATCGTCTATGGTTTCTCGACGACCCCGTTGAGCTCGTACCGCGAACCATGTGCAATGTTGATAGAATAGAATGTGCTCTTCAATATGCAATTGAGCTCATTCGGTTTGGTTTTGGCAAAGTGTAATTAATTCTGTTTTGAATGTGAGTAGGAGTGACTTTTTTTGCCCCCCCCCCTGTATAGTGCATACATACTACATACATAGCCATGTGAAGGCTGACACACAAAGCCGTTTATATAATAGAAAAAAATGAGCCGGTTATTTGACGTGGCCAATGAACCGCAAAACTGAAAGCTCTAGTACGTTAACGTTTAAGCATAGACCATTCTGGAGGTCTCTTTCGCTCTGAGCTGCGCCATGCAATAGTTAGAGAAGTATTCGAAAGTCACACCCGTCACCTACTGTCACGACAGCATACATCTTGATCCTTATCGTTTAATGCTGTGAGCCTGAGCCTAGAGCTTTATTCGCATCTGTGTAACATTTCGTCATTCCATGACATTCCATTGCGACCATGCCCCTTGCGAATACGACCCTCCCCCTCTCCCGTCTGCCAAATACGGCCCAGTCCCAGCAGGTTTTTACCTTCGACACTAATGGTGTGGAACGATGCGCTAGCCCTAGTCAAGAACATAAGAAGTGTGACTGAACAAAAACTCACCTTGGAAAGCCGCTAGAAAGGGAGCTGAACGGCTTCGAAGTGGGCGTGGTTGGAAATCGGCTGCAATCCCTCGGCCGATTTCCAACCACGCCCACTTCGGAGCCGTTCAGCTCCCTTTCTAGCAGCTTTCCAAGGTGAGTTTTTTGTCGTTTTTTTGTGTTTTTGTCACACTTCTTACGTTTCTTGAGTAGGGCGAGCGCATCGTTCCACTTCATTAGTGTCGAAGGTAAAACCCTACTGGGACTGTTGCTTTAAAGGCAAATTCCGGGATTTCTGGCGAAAGGGACCTAGATTGGAGCATTGGCGCCGCCCCAAACCCATTGAGCCCGCCCACCGTCCTACGTGATCTTCCAAACAACCACCTGGAACGCTAGATGTTAAGCCGTTGTTTGGAAAGTCGTAGGGGAATATTTAGCGGATTTCAACTGCGAAAATCGACATCAAAGCCTATCTTACGACCATTTGGAGAACGTTGTCATCATTCTAGTGAGAAGAAAAATTTTAAGATAGGGAAGCAAACAAAAAAAAGCACAGAAAATAGAAAAAATAGGGAAACTAAGAAAATCAGTCCTCATTGCTGATCGTGTCGGTTGATGGCACAAAGCCAACAGTTGCTGTAGACATGTCCAAACAGGTAATTTTCCCAGCCCTGGTTCGTAAGCGACTAACGAAGAGGAATTTCTAATTTTGTAGTTCTTTGGAGGTATTTCCTGCTTTTTTTTTCATTACCTTCGATCAACTTAGCATCCAGCTCTCCACTCTCGAACAGTTGAGTCCCTCGTTTTATTCCGGAGTCTGCCTTTAAGTAAGCGGGAAGTTCACCCGGCTTTGCTGCTTTCATCAAGGATGACATTTTTTCAGTATTGAAGCTATAGTGCTCCTGAAGATGCTGTTCAGTAATACGACAGCTTTCTTTGTGGACGTACGAAACCTACTGCTCCCACTGAGTTTTTGCATAATTCCTCGAGCAAAATCGCAAAGAAGCTAACTTAAAGGATGCTAGCCATGTCTCGAGCACGAAATGCCGAAATGCTAGACAAATTGATGCAATTTTAGGATAGTTTTAAGGAAAGAATATTGCACATGAAAAGTGTTCCGCCTAAGGCGCTTGAGAGTTACATAAATAAAAGAATTTCGCAAGTCTAGATGAAGTAAAGAAATAAGGCGTAGTAAGAGTTGTAGGTTGTAGAGCAATGTCCAATGGGACGTCCAACATAGCATATAAATATTCATGGATTAAAGGTGCACTCATGCAGAGCCGTTCTAGATTTTCGAGGTCGGTCATTTCGAAGGAGGAATTCACGATAAGAACGAAGGTCAAAGAAGGGGGAAATTGCATAGTTGGGAGACAGGCGGACCTCCTGAGGGTGCTGACCGACGCGCAATTGGCAGCGAAAGATTTGACCTCGGCGATCTAGCATGGCTCACTCTTGGCGCGGTTGGCGGGGTACGCCCACCGACTATCTAATCACTCGCCGCAGGTCTATACGTGGCGAGTGATTAGATAGAGAGAGCGTAGTGTTGAAGAGGGCACAGCGATGAGAGTCGCATCAATGCGCAAATCAACGGGCAAGGAAGGGTCGGGTTTCGGGCCGTTTCAAATGGTTTCTTCTTCATCCCTGCTCCACTGACCACCTCTACCCTTATTTCCAATGAGCTACTTTTCATCATCGCAAATTCTGCCTTCAAAACAAGTTTCCATTATTAGCCTCGGCAAGCTGATATCAGTCAATGTACTTTCGGTGTCTTTACGTATTCTAACGGGCAAGTCAACATCCGGTGCTGCTGATGCTGGGACCAAAATGAGATCTTAACTCATAACCAAACAGAATAAACACAACGCAAAGCATCCCGTGTTGCATTGTTTAGGCATCATTTTCTTACAACCAGTATGGGGTCCTACATACTGCACGCGTACATCACAATCAGTAAGCTCAAAACAGTCGAGATCGTCAACCATGACTCTGCACTGTGTGGGAATAGTGTCGAGAGTGAATATAGTACAGACGACTCGCGTGTGGCAAGAGTGAATGATCACGTGGGAGTTCGGGCTGAGAAGGCGAAAATCTTCGACGAGTCGCGACGAATCCTCGATCGATTTTCATCCTGCATAAGAGCATTGAGGGATGTGATGCTCATATAGTAAGCAGTAGGATCTTTCAAGCATTCGCACGTCATGCTGCATTCTAATCAACAGTTTTTGAATGATTGTTTCTAAAACACAGCTCAAGCATTTTTTGAGCAAACAACGTTGCGTGAAACCTGCACTCTTCTTCGGATAGAAAGTTGTAGCGTAACTTGATCGTCTTGGAGAATTTCAAAAAGCGTTGATTCCAAGAGCGACTGCACTGATTTGAATTGTTGTGTGCTTTTTATTACTTGCGACTGGAAAGCCTTGCATTATCCAGTCTGTTCTGGGAATGTTAGCTAAGATCCAAGTTTGGGAGAGGCAATAGGAAACATGCGTTCTCTCCTTGGAAATTACATTGGAAAAAAAATGTTGGACAACAACACTAATTGCTCATGTAAAGTCCTTTTATAAAATAATTCTCTTAGGAATTGCTTTCAGGAAAAATAGACAACGCTGACTTTGTTATGTTTGTGTCTGTGTTAGAAGATATGTGTGATAAGGAAACTGCTGCCTATGCTGTTCATTGTGCGATAGATCCCTCCACCAAAAGGTGAGCGTATGAAGGAAGCATCGCTGACCTTGAAACGTCCCAAGTAAATTGATATGAAATACATGAAAAGTTGAACAGGAGATACGCTTGCGGCTCAAAATTGAAACTTCGAAGGCATAGTGTGCACTCAATTTTTCTTCAAACTTGACGAGTTTCTCACCCATATTCCTAGCGTTAGCGTTTTCACCAAAACCTTTTCTAACCTTTCCTATGACGCTCGAGATGTGTTACAAAAGTTGTCCCGCCGTTTATGGCACGCCATGCTGTCGAGAGCGCTCTTTAGTCGAGCTGCGATGCTTGGATCGTTGTATTGCTAAAAGACAAGGTCAGTTTGGTGCTGCTAGTATAGCAATGAATACGACACTTCTTCTGAAGCCTACTTCTATTGGGTTGGAGCACAATATCGTAGCGCTTTCATTTTTCATTTTTTCACACAAACATTTGAAGCAAAACATAAAACTAATCAGTGATGTTCACTTCGTCATTATTTACAACTTTGATTGCATTTCGCAGGAGATCACCGGATATAGAATTTAAAAAATATTGAGCTCGTTTTCGGAGTCCTTATTATTCTCAATTTGTACGAAATGAATATGGTTTTAATTTGAGCGAAAAAGGTAGGGTCGGTTAGAGCAAGGTTCGATTAGAACAATGGATTCAAAGAACTTCCAATTTGGCGTTTTTCTTCTTTATTTAAACCGAGAATAGCAGCTGTCGAAACGCCGATTTTCGCCGTCTGGATTTTCCAACTTCTAAGCTCTATACCTGAGTACAGCTACAATTTTGAAGAAAACGACAACAACGGTTTTGTAGAGCGGAAAAGCTCTTTCATAGCGTTTCTTCGTGTAATACTAATACTGGTTGAATTTATGCGCTCGAAAAAGAAAACTCTACGATATTGCGCTCCAATCGAACATACTACGTCAGCTTCACCATTTTTCGAATCCTGGGAGGTTGCCTGACGACGAAATGATAGGGAGTGTAATGGGTCTGCGCGCATTGAACTGGAGATGGATCATAGGGCTCATGACCGTGTTTTTTGCCACTGCACCAGGGATCACTCGATCACACCACTGGAAGAGATGTTGATGAAAGGTAGCAATGGATGTTGTTTGCAAATCTTGGACTTCAAGCGGTGCTGATCCAGCAACCTTGCCAGCGGCAGCGTCATAGTAAAACTACACCATTCTTAGTTTTCCGGCACTCGAAAACGATGGTTGCTATGCCGATTTACGAAATTTCCAAATAAGTCAGAAAACTGAAAAAATCAGGGGTGGCATATACAGTGCGCGTCAATTGTATATGCCACCCCCTGATTTTTTCAGTTTTCTGACTTATTTGGAAATTTCGTAAATCGGCATAGCAACCATCGTTTTCGGCGTGTCGGAAAACTAAGAATGGTGTTGTTTGATTTTGGTTAACGCGTGGATTTGAATTGCTCTGTTCTTTGAAGAAAATGGGCCGCGTCAATTGCTTATGCCATCCTAAAGTTTCTTCAGAATTTCTCATGTCTTTAACGCTATTCAGCTACGCTGCTGCTTATTGTAGGACTCATCAGCTTGATAAGTCAGAAAACTGAAAAAATCAGGGGGTGGCATATACAATTGACGCGCAGGGGAGTCACTTCAATCATGGCACATTGATGTCATACAGGGTGCCACTTTTGATGGAAGTTCCACTTTGAAATTCCCCATAGATATCCTCACATAAAGGACGTCTATAGTATTCGCTTCAGTCTGAAGCTCCTGCATAATTTCTTCATACAGTTATGTGGTGGGCAGCTTCGTAAGGACATCAATTGGGAGTATGAGAAACCGCTGTTGATCAGATGAACTCGTAACTACGATCCGTCAAGGCCCTTGTAATCATGCATCTCGTTTCTGTGGGGAAATTTTCTGAAGTTTTCATGTGAAAGAATTTCTTTAGAAATTTTTGAGAGTGAAATGCGCCCCTTGGCACAGCTTATATATTTCCACTAAAACTAGGAATCATATAAATGCCAAACCATTTACCTTGGGACGTTCTTTAGATAAGTATTTCATAAAAGGATGCTGCAGGAATGGCTTGGCGGTATCATAAGTGTACAATCAAGTAAGTCACTTAAAGGAATCCTTCGCGGAAAAATCATGATTCTATTTCAGCCATAAATCACTGGCTTGAGACTCATTATCCACGATAAGAAGTGAAAAGAACAGAAATATTGCTTTTGTTTTGGTAAAAATTCGAAAAATCGAAAGGGCTGCTACGCGTTCAAAGTGCCCACGGACGTCTTTCACAAATGCTGGCGACGGGGATGCTTCCACTTGGTTCTTGCGGGGATGCTTCCACTTGGTTCTTGGAGTGCCTTCACTAGAAACTCTTTCTGGCCTTCTGCTTTATTGCATTCACATCTCACACTTCTACTCCATCCTATTCTATCGATCGATTTGTCTCTACTCTCCGAAATCGCGCGCTTTTTTCATTGCGTCGCCTGATACGTAGCCGGCCAAAGGCCAACTTCTTTCCATGCCTCGCCTTTGGCTCCGCCCGAATTACCTTCGATGTCCATAGTTTTTGTACGTTTGTTTCTCTTCAGAAACCGAATCTTCATGCGTGAAACTTTGTGTGCTATTTCCAGTGATCACAACTGACACATTCATGTTAGGAAAGAATGCAAGAATTTTCCGCGAAGGATTCCTTTGATTACTGCTGTTGGCGCGGTTCGTCCTTCCATTCCCCAAGCTTGAGTACCGCCACTGGCCCCCTACGGTCCAGCGGCGACACGGTATCTGAGGACCGCCCACATTTTCTGTATATAAACCCCATTGAATGCATTATTATTGTCGATTCTTACACTAACACGTCGTAATAATTATTACACGTCACTGGTTAAGTCTTTTATTGGCTAACTGGCGGAACGGTTTGAATTTTGCAAAGTGTAATCAATTTCATTTGAGACCTAAATTTCCAGGCAGTTATTAATACCTTTTGAAAAGAAAAAATTCGATGCACAAAAACGTTCTAGCGAACAATTTGATGGCTACTTTGTGTTCATTATCGCTTTTTTTGCTTGAACATTTAGCTGTGCCTTCGTGCAGTCGACGACGCACTGCGGATAATGTATGTTCAGCCCTAATTAGACGCTTGACATTCACGACGTCAACTATCCAATGGAATGTCATACTTCATCAACTTCTCCTCATTGTGAGGATAAAGCGGAAGGGTTTCAATCCGAGCACTCAATGAGCCATTCTTTCTCGGTTATGTAGCCACGAAAATTAGTGATCGTAAGCGATGTGACCGTCACTGCACAACGAGCTCGGCCCTGCTGGCAGACCATTTTGAGTTTTTCTGTTTCCCTAGCTCGAACGTCTGAGAGGGCTTTTGACAGACTTTGGATTCGCTTTCCACGTTCTAGCGAAGAACATGAAAAATGACTTAATTGAGAAATGTCTCCCTATCATTACATTATTCGCAAAAAGCGTTCTCCCACCCAGTCTCTGGTCAACGAACGGATCATATGCCGATCATTTTGAAAGTTGTGAGCTCGACCGATGTTGAGTGGAAATCTTTTGATCGGACCAAAAACTTCACCAAAGCAGAAAATTTGCAAAAACTCCTCTTATTTCTTCGATTTGCGTGTTTGTACTGCCACTGCTGCCCCTGAAATATGCGGGCTGCGCAGCTTCAGCTCCACCCCAACCGATGGCTGTAAAGATCGAGGAAATCTGTCATCTCTCGAGTTTGGCAAACTTGTCGCTTTGTTCAATTATCTCTTAATACTTGCTCTAGTCCTTCTTTTGTCGGATCAGCAAGGACGGCCACTTCATGAGTTTATCTTATTAGGCACCTTCCCTTCAAAGCATTTTGGTGGTCCTAAATGGAACTTTTAGTCGGTTCGACATGTTTCAGTTAACGCTTCGCACTGGACGTGTAATGTATTCTCAATCAGGGCAGGCGTCGCATAAGGGAGAAATGCAGAATAATCACAACTTTTTTTCTGAAGGCAACATATATCCAAGAAATGACAGCGCAAGAAATGAAGAAGTTACAGTGTTGAAACATGAAATCCGATCTATCAATTTGCTTGTACTTGGGCTTCTGAGCTACTGTCGCATGTGTGACATTATCTTCTACTTTGAAGCAGCAAACTGACCTAACTGTAGAGCCTCCTTCATCTGGATTATTATCGCTAATTTCAGACCGATAGCTGGTCAGGTGAATATTTGTCCAAACACGTTCAACACAACTGCTTTCAACGAACATTCGAGAATGGAAGTCGCGGTGAAGCACGAATTAACTCACGCATTCGTCTTTTCACCAATGCTTTTCAGGGACTTCCCTGGCGCCGGACAGTATAGAAGGTTAGTATGGGACTTACATTATGTCGACCGAAGTTGCGGTGCCCGGAGGACGAAAAGCTATGAGAAATGTTGAGGAACACTAGGAATGGAATCATCCCCTTGTCCGGTAATTTTCCCACAGATACAACGATGCAAGGATAACGTACTCTCTGCTAAAAGGCGGCAGCTGTAGCGAGTGGTTAGACCGGCAGCGCCGATAGCTCAGCGGGAAGGGTCATGGAAGGTCGCGGGGCATATCCTTGCCAGGAAGCTGCGTGGCGTTTAGGTCGTTCGTCTGTCTCCAACTAGGGTTCCCCTTCTTTGACCTTCGACCTTATCTAGGACTCCTCCTTTAGAATAAGCATGAATTGTTTCACAAGCGGAAGATAGAATTCCTGGATTTTGGCCAGCTTTACTCATTGTCTCCGGCGTAATGTGCCTTCGGCTTTGCTTATTTATTACCGATGACCATCTCTTCTGAAAAAGACATTATCAAATTTTGTCATCGCCGTTGGCCATCTTTTGTTTTTGCAATCCAATCGATCTAGCTGCTCATTTTGAATACGGCTTCGGAGTTTTTTAAAGACAAAACCAAACATTGATCATCACGAGAGAAAGAACGGTAGTGAATAGGGTAGAAAGGGGTTCCGGTAGAAATGTGACATGAGATGTGTGACCCTGTCGGGGAAGCGTATAACAACAGAACTGTAAGGTGCAGTATCCAGTGAAATCCCCTCATACCCTTCGCTTGAGTGTTGTGCAGTTCTTTCCTCATCAGTGCCTCTCATGACAATCGGTTCTCCCTTAGATCGTTTCAACTTTCGCTTTGAGTATGGATGATTCCTCTACGCAGTGCGAGTACATACAGTAACATGCGAAAATTTTTAAAAGACAAGTTGTTGCTCAGCCATGCAAACGCCAAAAATCGTGGTTAACTCGTCCGAATTAGGAATCGACAGTGGAGGGAAGGGTGTGGTTTTCAGTTTTTGACCAATCGCTTGTTTGTTTTTCGCAAAGCGCCACTTGACACCGCTTCGTTTCTATTATTGCGAGTTTTGCCCTCAATGTGGCCGAACGAAAACAAAAAGAAGAATCTACTCTTTTTAGAGAAAAAAATTTATACGTAATTCCTAATGTTGTCGACCGAATCACGCGATCGGACTGGGAGACTTCTAGTGGAGCTGTAAGTTGTTAGAACAAGCTCTTCCCATCACTGAATGTGAGATCAAAGAAGAAGAGCTTATGCTGATACATTATCATTTTGAGTTTTCCATACAATTTTCACTATGTGAATAGATATATCTCTAGATGAAGCATGACGTGTATATGATGGTAACACCAAAAGTTCGCCAAGAAGCTCGCCGGCACTTCAACTGTTCAACATTGGAGGGAGCAGAACTTGAAAATTATGGTGGCATCGGTTTAGCTGGCGCACATTGGGAGAAACGAGTTTTTGAGGTGTGTGCACGAACTCTCTTTATGAAAACCTAATAATTCACATGCAGGGAGGATGGAAGGACCGTGAAGTTGACATGCTATCTTCACAAAATTTACAAACAATCACAATCCAATCCTCATTACGGCAGGAAGAGGAAGAGGTTTGGAAGGAGTGCAGGAGTACTGAGGAGTAAATACCAGGCTAAGTGCAAGCAAAAAGCCCTCCACTGGCCTCCTTGCCCTTGCTGGTTCTTAACATCCTACATCCTCCATTCCAAGAACTTCTTCCATATACAACAATACGAGTGCGGTATAGCGTTCCAGGGAAGTATATGCATCATGAATGCAATAGCCATGGGGGGGGGAGGCGAGAAAGCGAGATGTGGCATTCTTTTGGCGAACGCGAAACGTTTGCAGTGCAGCTAGGCTCCGGCACAAAATTGTGACGCTTCCATCTACCACTTCAAAGCCGCTAACAGCATTCTTTCATTTTCATTCTGGAAGAGCACTTCACTCAACCGCTGTATCATTGGGTGGTGCCTGGTGCGTGCGTTCCAGAGGATGGTCGCTTTTGGATACCCTGCTGCGCGCCGACGAAAACGCAGCACAGAAGCAATATCACAAATGTGAGAATATTTCTTATCGGCTGACCTAATAATTGTGGCCCACCGTGTCCCTAAATGCGCTAAATATCTGACTTATTCAAATATGAGGACCAAAAGTGTGTGCAAGCGCAGTAAAAAGTCTACAAGAGCAAAAATATTCATTTGGTAAGAAACTATTGTAACAACTAATCTATAATATATTACACTTATACGCTCCTCAGCTGCTAATCCGTTTCACTAAGTACGACCTGTATCACGAGCAACTTCTGCACTTAAAGAAGCGATAAAAATAGATACTAAGAGGGCTTAAAGGGGAGTGGGGTCTCAACTAGTTTCGCCACGGCGAAAATAAGCAAAATGGTACCCCTTTGATTGCCCTTTCATTTTCGACCATGGATGAGCGACGGTAAAGAACGACGTTGTTCGGACGTGTTAACCGACGATAGCCGCCATCATGCCAACAAGCATAGTGTTTTGATTGATAAGGCAATACGTGGGCAAGTTGGAAGATACAGCCGCTAGAAGGGAAATGATCATCCAAAATGAAAAGCCAACAGCAAACAGTCCATCCAGATCATCAACAAAACTAGTGGGCGTCACGTCACTGGGGGCGGGGTCACACGGGTCCTGCTCAGCAACCACAGCACCTTTCGCCGTGGGAGGACCACACATCGCTTCCTTGGCAGCCAAGTAATTGCTCCGTGTGGCGCAGGTTCTCCCCCGATGCGAAAATTCCTTATCGTAATCGCTTCCTTTAGAATGGGACGAGGAGAAGCAGTCAACTTAGAATTGATTAGGGATGGCAAGTATATAGACAAGCAGGAAAACACATTGAGAAACGCCCAGAAGCCTAGGAAGCTAGACCCCCCATCTTGGCGTTGATTGTTGATGGCTGTCATCGCTGTGCCCTCTAACACTACGCTCTCTCTGCTACATCACTCCCCACGTACAGACCTGCAGCGTGGATAGTCGGTGGGCATATTCCGAAAAACCGCGCCAAGAGTGAGTTATTGCTAGATCGTCGGGCTTAAATTTTTAACTTTCAATTGCGCGTCAGCAACCCTCAAGAGCTCCTCCAGTCTTCTAACTATGCTATGCAATTTCCCACTTCTTTGAGACCTACGTTTCATCACGAATTCCTTCTTTAAGGATGAAACAATGAGTGGTGGTTTAACGAGGACCGCACAAAATGGGGCGTTCTCCCGTTTGACGCTGGCACTATATGAAGACTCTGGTTGGTACAAAGTGAACTACGAGTACGTTCTTCCTTACTCAAAATTGTCGTACAAAGGGTTTGAATGCAGTAAGGGTAGTGAATGCTTGTGCGTTTCTGCCCGTGTGAAACAGCCGTGTTTGTGATCCCACGTGGACTCACAGGGCTCGGCTCAATAGCCACAAAATGAAACGTAATTGAAAATTTTTATCATATAGGGGAACGAAATCAACGGGAGCACGAAGAATGATGACTAAATCATGTTAGAAGCATGTAGTAAAGATATGTTAGGCTGTGTCATAAATAGTGTAGCTTTTTTTCAACCAAAAGGTTTTCATGTAAATCTCCCATGCTTTTATATCGGTTTGACCTTTCGAAAGAGAATTGACTGCTCTACAAGATGCTATATTCCTCTTCCATTCAGCTCAGTCAAAAGGTTGCAGGCGTGCCGAAACGGGCAGCTCCAGCGACAGAAAATTGACAATATCGACAATGCCTCTAATTCATCTTCCTTGAGAAAGAAATCAAGCAATGGTTTACCCTTACTTATTCATGACCTTTTCCAAAACATTGAGACCCCGTCCAGGTTGACCGAACAAAACTGGCCGGTTTCTTACGAAGTGGCTAGACGATGGCCATTACGCAATACTTTTTTCAAATTGAGAACATTGTGCTTCTGCAACAACGCCGTTGTTTTCCGGTCGATAGTGGTGTAGTCTTGCGGTTGAGCACTTCTGACTGCGGCTATTCGCACATTTTTGTATTGTTTTTATGTTTCTTGGGAATTAGTCCGAATTTTAGCTGTGTTAGGAATAAGGTGTTTTATCACGAAAGTGACCGCATTTCTTTGAAAAAAATTATTCCTGAGAAGATGAGAAAATCAACCAGGCGTACATTCCTAACTTAGTCATGACTTGTTCTTTAAATTCTACTAGTTTTTCAATGTCTCGGCTATAAAAAAATTTCGACCTAGATCTCAGGTAATGGTGCTCGACCGTCGAGTTCTGGTTGAAAAACCAGGTCTGGAAATTGAACGACGCGATTTGTAGGAAAACCTAGTAGTGTAATGATTAGAAGAGGTCATGCATAAGTAGAAGGTACATCATAGATTGATTTCTCCCAAGGAAAGATAATGTTAGAGATAGTTGTCGGTTTGGCCATTTTTTGTCGCTGGACCCGTCCCAATTTAAGCAGGCCTAAAATTTAAGATCCATGGAACATAGGTGGAAGGTTGACATCGCCTCTTATAGAGCAGACAATTCTCTTTCGAATGGCATATAAAACGATGTGAAAGCATTGGGGATTCAGATGAAAATCTTTTGGTTGAAAAAAAAACGACAGTATTTATGAGACAACCTAATATGTCAGGTCGTTCCATAAGTTCGTGCCACTTTTTTGCACCTCATACCAGAAGTCCGTCTAGTAATCCCTGAATTTGACCAAGTAGGCTCCAAAAAATCACTTCGTTTCGTGATGCCCATGCAAAACATAGTCGCTTTTATAGTCTTGCTTCTGTTTGCCTTCCAGGTTTGTTATGGTGGAATCTTTATTGGTCGACGTTTCGAACAAATCGTCGTTATCAAGACCTAAAATTAGTTCGGAGCTCTAGCTTGTAGTCTCTCCACTTACACCCCAATATTGCCAGTTTTTACAATTACAATATCTCTCTCAGTAATTACAAATCAAGCTAAGATTTTACCAGCTAAAACCAACCTTAGGAATTCAGGAAACGTAGGAGGTTGGTTTTAGCTGGAATCTTAGCTTGATTTGTAATTACTGAGAGAGATATTGTAATTATAAAAACTGGCAATATTGGGGTGTAAGTGGATAGACTACAAGCTGGAGCTCCGAACTAATTTTAGGTCTTGATAACGACGATTTGTTCGAAACGTCGACCAATAAAGATTCCACCATAACAAACCTGGAAGGCAAAACAGAAGCAAGACACAATCGGAATGCCCAGGTTTCAAGAAGACCGGACATGGACCATAGTCGCTTTAGCTGCTTTGAAGTGAAAACCAAAAGAGAAGAGAGAGAGCCAGTCTGTCTCTCACGCTTCGAGCTAACTTCCACTGATCCCAAAAATGGTCGAAGCCAGGGGGGTATCCTTCGCTCTGCGATGCATTTCCTCCTCCTCGTTCACCATGCGGTACAGGAACGTTGAAATTTTTTTCTGCTCTGGGGGACTACAGCCATGAAGACCTCATTGACTGGAGAAGCGATCGGTTTATTTATTTCCTCCTTCGGATACGTACAAAAGATGAGATTGCATGAGCACCGAAGTCTTGTACACAGATAAGGACAATTACTCCAGATGTAAGCCAATAAGTTATCGAATTCTACTCAATAATCGAATTTCAATTGGGAATTCATACTGGGTTAAAAGATGTAAAAAATTAAAGAAAAATTAAAATTTAACTGTATAAAAATATAAACATATAAAAAAATTTAAAAATATGCGTTAAAAATTGGTTGCGATTTAAACCTACTGCTTGCTCTTCGTCCGAAGACTACCCGCACAATTATCTGCTATGAAACGCACACTCAGGGAATTGTTGGAAAAAAAGTTTTTAAAATTAAAATTAAAAAAAAAAAAAAAAAAAAAAAAAAAAAAAAAAAAAAAAAAAAAAAAAAAAAAAAAAAAAAAAAAAAAAAAAAAAAAAAAAAAAAAAAAAAAAAAAAAAAAAAAAAAAAAAAAAAAAAAAAAAAAAAAAAAAAAAAAAAAAAAAAAAAAAAAAAAAAAAAAAAAAAAAAAAAAAAAAAAAAAAAAAAAAAAAAAAAAAAAAAAAAAAAAAAAAAAAAAAAAAAAAAAAAAAAAAAAAAAAAAAAAAAAAAAAAAAAAAAAAAAAAAAAAAAAAAAAAAAAAAAAAAAAAAAAAAAAAAAAAAAAAAAAAAAAAAAAAAAAAAAAAAAAAAAAAAAAAAAAAAAAAAAAAAAAAAAAAAAAAAAAAAAAAAAAAAAAAAAAAAAAAAAAAAAAAAAAAAAAAAAAAAAAAAAAAAAAAAAAAAAAAAAAAAAAAAAAAAAAAAAAAAATTTAATTCAACCAAACCTTTACTGTGCTGCTTAC